CCGAGTTGCTCTCGGAGTGTTTGTACTTTGGAGCTACTCGACGGGATGTTGACGTGGAGGCCAACGTTGCCGGCGAACGCCATCTCGACCAACGCGACGATGAGACCACCGTCCGATCGGTCGTGGCCAGCACTCAGCCATTGGTTGTGTACGCACGTTTGGATGGCTTTGAAGGCGTTGATAAACAACGCCGCGTCTTCCACGTCGGGGACTTCACGACCGACTAAAAAGGTATACATGGGATTAGATATATATATTACATATATTTTAGATATACATATATCGACGAAAAAAAACAACGAGGCCAATATATAGATGTATTAGATAGATATCGACGAAAACACGAGGCAATTATATATATATATATATATATAGGTATCGTTATCAAAGGGACTACAGAATCATAAGACAACACATCATGGAATAGAATAACAATATTTGAATTAACATCATCAAATGATCGATATGCTACTAGCTACTGCTGGACACTATATTTGGCAATTCAATAAAGCACAACATTCAGGTACAAAAAGCACATACATACACTCCAATAAAGGAAAGCACATACACTCCAATAAAGGAAATCACATGTCCAACAAACTCCCCCAAGGACAACCAACCCCAGAGACATACATTCCAATAAAAGACACCCCATATCAAAATGCTACATGCATTCCCAACCCAACATCGATATATATACATATATATGTATTCATACCTTGGTTGTACACTTGCGCGAGCGCTGAACCGCCCAACCGGTCCTTCCCGTGACCCAAATCCACGTAAAACAAGTCGCCGCCGTTGGGCTTGAGGTCCGGAGTGATGGTCTTTTCGACATCCGAGCAGGCCGCGTACATGGTTACGACCAACGTGCCAGGAGCTTTAACATTCTCGGACTCGACGCGCGCCGCCATCGAGAGCGAGTCCTTGCCGCCGTCCACCGCGACGCCAATGTCCTTCATGAAGGTCGTCATAGCCTTGCAGCATTCGTACATGCGCGCGGCCTCGCCGGGTAGTTTGGCAGCCCACATCCAGTTGGCGGAGCACTTGATGTCGACCAGAGACCCACTTAGGGATGCCCACACCAAGTTGGTCAGGGATTCGCCAACTGTCAGGCGCGCCATCGCCCCCGGGTTGACCAAACCTATGATATTCAAGATATTAAAGATGGAGAGAACGCGATTAAAAGAACGTTTGTTTTTATTACCTTTGACAGGTTGCTCGCCCACCGCCGACGCACATCCCGTGTACGTGCCGGTTTCAGGGCTGCGGAAATGCGATTGCGCAATCACAGATACGTTCGCGAGCGGCAAATGCAGTGGACCCACGCAAGGTTGTTGCGCAACTAACCCCGTCACACATCTATACAAGAAAAAGAAACGTGAATTTATATATATATATATATATATTGTATTTAAAATCGAGTTAAACGCTGCATTGTCGTTTAAAACAGAGATGCAACATTGACCAAACGATGGATATTCATTCATCCGTCCAATCAATGCTGTAAAAACGAATTAAAAATCGGCCGAAAAGCTGAATATTTTCGCTTAAAAACGTAAAGTCGTTTTTCGCCAAATATCGACGGATACGATCAATACTAGTCCATCCATGTCAAAACGAATCAACCCTCAGCCGAAATGCTCTCACTGTTCGTTCATCGAAATCAAAATGAATATATAATTTTATATATATATATATGATGTACCTATATTATTAAGAGTTATACATAAACAACGTATAACTCGTACAATACAGTAAATCACATATATATCGAGTCATCAAATATATATCTATATATCAGACAAGCTCGCCCACAAACATTAGAATATAGAAACATATACTCAACACAAATCACTTACCGATCAACTTTGGAGGTCAAGAAGCGCTTGGACCCGACAGACAAGAGGCGGAGGACGCGATCCAAAGCCGACGCCACGGTAATATCAGTGGGGAACACAAGCTCTCTCAAAAACGAGTTTGGTTCAGTCGTATCCACAAATGTCTTCTGGGGCATCTTGCCCAGCACCAGGTCCAGCTCCAAGTCCACGGGCGTCGAGTCGTCCACGGCATCATGCAGCACCACGCGGCCGTCGCCCGTCACTTGGCCGAGCAGCGCAAATGGACAGTTCTCACGGTGGCAAATGGTGCGAAACAGGTCCACGTCAGCTGGGCGCAGCAGCAACGCATTGTTCTCCTGATATTCGGCCCCCCAAATCTCCAATACACTGAGGGTTTCGTCGCCAATCAAAATATTGCGCACTTCGTATCTACAAATATATAAATATTAGTTGGCATACGATGACCAGGATATGGTCAGTCATGCCATCCTCTGTCGACAATATGAGAGGCACGGTGGCCATTCAAAGCAAAAAAAGTTTTTTTTGTGAAAAATAAAGAGAGAGACGGGTTTCACGGTACGAGACCGTGTTTTTTTTTCGCAACCAAAAAAATAGTTTTTTTTTCAGTGTGGACAGATGGATGGAGGGGGTGTACCTGGCGCCGCCGCCGTGGCCGTTGGTAGGTTCGACGATCTCCTTGAGCACGTTGCCGTTGCCGCCAGCGCCTTGATCGTGGATGCTCACGATCGGGTTGCGGTCGCCCAGCTCGACACAGGCGCGGATCACACGGTTCATTTTGTTTTCCATCTACTCGAAAAACCATGTGAAAAAAAAAGAAGTGAAAATAAAAAAAAAAGATTTTTTATTTTTTGCTCATGTCCCCTTGAAAACAACACCAAAGAATCGATATTTCGAGTTGAAATGATTTCCCATAACAAATTTAAAATATTACAAAAACCGCAAAATAGAAATAAATATACCTCGGCATCGCCGCGTTGAACTGCGTTAAAGTCCAATTCAGCAGTTTTGGCGTCCTGGATGCGACTGGACGCAGCTCCACCGCCCATTCCGATGCGGTAGCACGGCCCGCCCACCTTGACCACCCACATGTTGGTCTCAGCGTCGCCCTTGACGCAATGCGTCGAGTTGAGCTGGCCCACGCCCGCCGAAAACATGATGGGCTTGATGTACTCGCGGCGCTCTCCATTGGGCAGCACCATCCCGAATGAACGGGCGAACCCAGACACGACTGGCTCGCCAAACTTGTTGCCATAGTCAGATGCGCCGTTGGACGCCTGTACAATGATTTCGCGCGGATGCGCCAAGTTGGACGGGTAAGTTACGGTTTGGTCTTCCCAGGGAAGCGGGTAGTTGTCAAGCAGGAGGTTGCCCACCGAGTATGCGCTCACCTACACGAGAAAAAGATTAATCAACGATTAGGTACTGTTGTGCCTAAAAGGGTCACTGGTTCACACATTAGTATTGTACTTTTTAAACTTTTCCTCCGGCGATCGATGACCTTCGACATTTCATATATAACTGACTGCAATCCTCCAATCTTTTTAGCCAATCAAATTGCAACCTTCATTCTTTGTAGCCAATCATACTCTGTTGTTCGATTAGTTGGCATGATCAATCTCCCAATATATATAGGCAAATTTGACTGAAAAGCGCAACAACAACCATAAACGTGTCGCGTATACATACATACCCCCGCAACCACATGCGCACCGCGGCCAGTCGCTTGAACATCGCGGATGCGGCCGCCGGTGCCAGTTTCGGCGCCGGGGAAGGGCGCGACGCCAGATGGGAAGTTGTGGGTCTCGGCAGTGAGGAGCACATGGCTCGTGAGATGGCGCTCCTCGAGGGAAGACGGGTAGCCGACATGCGACGGCGCGAGGGTCTTGATGGCGGCGCCCTTGATGACACTCGAGTTGTCATGGAAAGCGATCACCGAGTTGGTCTTGTTAGCATCGGTTAGAGTCGATTTGACCATTTGGAAGAGGGTGTCTGGCATTTCGACGCCGTCGATGACGATCTTGCCGCCGAAAAACCAATGGCGCGAGTGCTCCGAGTTGGACTGGCCCATATCGAAGCACTCGACGTCTGTGGGGTCGCGCTGAAGCTTCTCCTTGAACAAGTTGGTGTAGTAGTCCAAATCCCATTCGTCAAACCCGAGGCCGTTGGTTGCGTTGATCGCGCGAAGCGCTTCCTTGCCTTCTGACATGATGGGCACGCGCTGGACGGGCTTGGGCGCTTGCGGGACCCCGAACGACGTCAGGGACGACTCGTACACTTGCTCGGTCATGCGGTCCATGTGCGCCGTCAGGAACGCCGCTTTGAACGCGTCCGTCAACTTGCCGGGCTTCCCGGTAAAGTGGAAGATGCGGCTGCGCTCGATGCGCTTGATCTTGGTCAGACCGCACGCGTGGCAGATAGACACGGCGTTGCTGCTCCATGGGGTGCTGAAGCTCAAGCGGGCGCCGATCTCGACCACCCACACGTCCGCCGTCGCCTTGGCCGCCGGTGCGGGGTAGAAAGGCGACGACCCATACTTCTCGGGCTCGAACGTTTCGCTGAGCAACCACGTGAGCGCCGACTCTTCTTCAGGAGTCAACGGCGCCGCGGTCGCTTCGAGCTCAACGTAAAAGCAGGATTCGGTCTGCACGTTTGCGACAACCTCGGCCCACGTCGCCTTGAAGGTCGACGTGACGTGTTCCGACCAGAACGGCGTGCGGAAGTACGTCAAGAGGGAGGATGATTTCATCTTCTTCGCTAATGGAGATTTGCGGGGCGAAGTCATGGTGGTGGGGTCGGCTCGAGCTGAATCAGTGGATTGGAGGTTCCATGGCAGGTTCCTTGAAGATCACATGGGAGGTCTATGTCAAATCCGAATAATTCAATGCATTGCTGTACTACTCGTTTGTATAGTATACAAACCACAAGAGGAGGATCACAGCAGGAGGGTTGTATGTTCATACGAAAAGCAAGGTTAAATTCCACCGCGGGTGCATTTTTGGGCGAGTTTAACGTAAACTGTGACATTAAATATATGATAGATTCATAGAGGGAACACATGAATGGACGCTTTTGATTCGTGGATGCGCCTCTGCCAATCATTGTACCGTTGTCAAGTGTGGGTACTTCTGACCATCGAATTTGTACCAATCACAAGCTCGACAAGGGGAGCACACCTACTTTGCCAGGGACGAGGGGGGGCTAGCTTTCATTGCTGGCGGCGTTGCTTTGACTGGGGCTGCGATCTCGTGCCATCTATCGTCGTCGGTATACCTCCAATTGGTTTTGTATGCCGTCGATAAGACTAAAAACTCGCCGTTGGATGTGGCGCCAAAAGCGCGTCATATTAGCTGGGATTTGTGAAACTTGAATTATATAGGGTAATTTTGCAATTGCGAATATTCCAATGAAATTATCCAATAATTGTATTGGAATACGAATTGATTTGGGTGAAATTTCCAGTTGGTGCACTGAAGCGTGGTGTCACTGGATTATTTGATTGGAATATCCCCATTTTATTGCAAAATTATTATAGTTCTGTACACGCCTTTTTTACAGTAGGCCCTTTCGAAAGGATGTGCCTGTTAGATATTCTGAAGGAATGGATGCTAACATGGTATAGTGCCACGTCATACTAGACATCTCTGGTATCGTTAGTAACTGCTTGACATGGGAGTCGGGGGTTGAAGAGGCACATCGCGCCAAAGCACCCTATGCCCTGCCATGTTGCCGGTGAACATCAACAAGCCAAAACAAACATACGAGTCGATCCCTCCACATATTACACTTATATGTACTACCACGTATGGGCTTGGTTCCGTGAGACTTTTTGGGAGCCTTCGATGGAGGGGGGGTGGGGTCCTCTATGCAAAATTGCTACTAGTGTTAGAATCGCGTTTCTTCAAAAGAATACATGCAGTTCGTAGGACTTCTGTCAAATCATGTCGATATTCGTAATAGTCGTTTTACCCGAAATTTGGTTCGAAGAGTGGATTGATTGGCTACTAGATTCGTGTTCTGGGATTTGATTGGTCGATCGATTCTCTGCCGATTTGGTTATTGTATTCTGCTCATTCGATTGACACTGTGAACACCCATCCCTCTACAATTTCGAATATATCGACAATCAATATCCATAGGCTGAAAACAGTTCCGAGTCACTTGATTTTATCCAGTCACCGTTCCAACACGCAAATTAAATCGCAGATGATTGGTTCAAGATTTCAGAGGAATTCTTTTTCTACCAATCATGTAACCGATCCAAGTTGGTGTATACTGTAGTACAATACTAATAGCACCACTCAATTTTACAATTTGGGCCACATTCATTGAAAACTTGATCTAAAATCTCTTAAGAAATGACAGATTTAGTTGCTTTTCTTGACGGGCAGACCCAAAGCCTTCTTGACGATGCGGTTCTGCTCCAAGACATGGACGGCGCCGTAGCCTGTGGCGGGGGCGGCAGACGTCGGGCGGCCAATGTACGTCGGACGCCGCGAATCGTGGGAGATCTTGGTCAGGGCGGTTTCAATGCGGGGCGACACATACGTCCAGAAGCCCATGTTCTCGGGCTCTTCCTGGGCCCACTTGATCTCCGCATTCTTGTACTTGGCAGCTTGTTCCGCCACCTTATCAAACGGAAATGGCGCGATTTGCTCCACGCGCACCAATGCAATGTCCTACATATACATAGTATACGTTCTTAGAACAAGACAACGAGTTGATAGGTATAGTACATAGATACTGGAGATGCATCATACATATAATACATCCTAAAGCACTCCACGTCTCCACGATGGCAATATAGTAATATAGTAATATATATATATATATATATTGCCATCGTGAGGACGTATATATATATTTATTTATTACTATATTTCCATTGTGAAGACTTTTACACATATATATAGGAGCATATAAATATATATTTATTACTAAATTGCCATTGTGAAGACTTTTACACATATATATATCGATCCAGGATCTCGGGATGGATGAGAGAGATATTGTTATACTGGAGAGAAGTGCCGAATGCATCTTGGATACCACCAAATGTGCAAAAGAAAAATGAGCCAATGAAATTGCACGAATTCATCCATTTCACCTCAAATTAGGGACATTTTGATCCAATATTCAGGTCCAACCCATCGATGGATTTGGCAAATCACACGTACAAAAGTCTCCAATATTGGCTAAGACAATATAGACAAATGGTTTGGTACGTACGTTGATGCCGTGCTCTTCGCGCTCGGCAGCCAGTTCGTAGTACAATTTGCCCGTGCAAAACACCACACGCTTGACTTGGTCGTCTGCGACGAGGTTGGACGACGGGTCTGGCAACAGCCGGTGGAACTTGGTGCCTGGGCCAAGGTCGGCCAAGTTGGACGACGCTTGCTTGAGTCGCAAGAGCGACTTGGGCTGGACTGAAATCAGCGGTTTTCGGAAGTCGCGGTGGATTTGACGGCGAAGCGCGTGAAAGTATTGCGCCGGCGTCGAGCAGTACACGACTTGCCAGTTGGTCTGTTGGATTTGCATACGGTTCGACTCGTCCATGGGCGGCACAACGTTCGGGTCGTCGTCAGTTTGCTGCAAAAATCTATGAAAAAAACATTATGATTTGTGGCTTAGTATATATATATATTGCAATAATGCAATCGACAAGGGATAATATATGTAGTACCGTTCAATGCGGCACGAACTGTGTTCCGCGCCTTGTCCTTCATATCCATGCGGCAAGAGCATGACGAGCCCGCTTTGGCGCATCCATTTGTCTTCGCCGGCACTCAAAAATTGATCCACAATAATCTGAGCGCCGTTGACGAAATCGCCAAATTGCGCTTCCCACATCACCAACGCATTGGGGTTTTCCAGCGAATAGCCCAATTCAAATCTATTAGGTCAACCCATGAGTCAAAAAGCATACTATTTTATCTCTTATATTGTGAGTTTTATTCTAATCTGGAGTAAATGAATACCCAAGTAGAATCCTCGGCAAAAGAATTGACAGCTAACCAGAATGCAGGAAACAACAACCAATCAAATTCGTGTTTCATTTTCAATTCGTGTGGTAATTGATATTATCAACCACCACAAGACACATTGTTTTTAAGTTTTCATACAAATATTTCAGTACACAACAAATATCGATCGATAGAGTTCTTGGTGATGCAGCACAAACAATAAATAGTCCACATCTTGGGTACAAGGATATATATATATTGTCAAGTCGATATATTTGCTCAATCAAATGAGCAGAATAACCAAATCGGCAGTAGACAATCGATGATCGACCAATCCAAACCCAGATCAAGAATCAAATAGCCATTCGAATAATCCACTTTTGGACCAATTCAACATCGAATTAGTGTGTGAATTCAATTAGTGTGAAAACTGGACGATCTTTCCAAAAGTCAGGACAAATAATCGATAGAGTTCTTGGCGATGAAAAAAAAACAAAAGTTCACATTTTGGGTACAAGGACAATACATATATATATATATATATATGCAGCCCAAATATATATATATATACATATGCAGCCCAAACAAGCGTCCACATTTTCGGTCATAGGACAATATAATCACGAACCCCAGCACGGCAAACTCGGACAACGACGAGTTGGACGCAACGAATGGCGCTTGGGTATGCTCTCCCGGGATGGTCACGGCCGTGGCGGGGTTCACCGACTTGGCCAGTGTGTTCAACGGCACATGCTCTTGGTTCGTATCTTGGTCATGCAGAACTGCATGGCGGTGGCTAAACGTGCCTCGCTCGACATCTTGACCTGAGATGCGCACGTGGTTGCCTTCGAGGAGAAGGCCGCCCCACGCGAGCGCTTCCGCCGTGCCCCAGTCGAGTCCTTCGCCAGTCTTGAGCGCGTGTGCCTTGGCAGCGAGAATGCGCTTCAATTGCGTATTCAGCTGGAATCCGTTGGGGATGGACGTGAGCTGCGCGCCAATATGGTTCAACTTGTCGATATCCATGCCCGTGGGGCGAATGCGCGACTGCTGAGTGGGGCTTTTGAACGACTCCCACTTGTTGGCCAACCAGTCGCTCTTCTTGCTGTCCTCCCACGTCTTGGACTCTTCAAACGTTTCGCCGTAGAAGTCCCACACCTTTTGCACCACAGCGTCCACTTCCGCCTTGGACGCCACGTTGGACGCCACCAACTGGTCCGAGAACGACTCGAGCACGTTCGGCATGCTCCCAATCTTCTTGTACATGAGCGGCTGTGTAAAGAATGGGTTGTCGATTTCGTTGTGCCCAAACTTGCGGTAACACGTCAAGTTGACAATCACGTCGGACCGCCATTTTTGGCTAGAATAGACGATATTAATCGAATGATAACTAACATAGATGATCATCACTACTAGCGTACCGCCATTCTGCCGCCAATTCAAATACTTTGACCACAGCCAATGGATCGTCCCCGTTCACGTGGAAAATCGGCACGTTCATCGCCTTGCCCACATCACTGCAGTACTGCGACGAGCTACAACAAATCAACAACACGTACAAGTTAGAGCGAGTCGACCGACATCTTTATATTGCAACCGGCATGCTGCTAGTATGTACTAGTAGTACATCCATCGTATACAAAACTATTAATATATTGAAATCAAACGGGGCTTTTGACGATTGGATATGATAGTATTGTCAAGTCGGTATTCGAAATTCGAGGGGGGTACTCAAATTCGAATGAGTAGTAGAACCAAATTGGCAGACGATATCGATATTTCGACCAATCAAAACCCACGAACACGAATCAAGTAGCCAATCAAATGATTCATTCTTCGACCATTGACTTCGTGTGTCACTGAAATTAGAGTGACACAAGATCATTTTTACATACAAACATCAGTATAAAGAATCGATCGCTGATAGATTTGGCAAATCAGCACAAAAGTCCAACTTTGGAGTCGTAAAAGGACAATATTTTTTGAGAATACGGTAGTATAAATTTCCAGACATCGCCGAATATCACAAAATCATCGACACGATTATCCAATTTGTAGTGGATTTGATATGGTTCTTTCACAAGCAAATACAAGTCTTGTCGGCCAATCACAACTTCCAGCGTAATTAAATTAAATTATTCAATATTGAGTAGAAAACCACTCGAATTTCGGAAATATATAGCGAGTTCACAATACGATGAACGTACGTACGTACCGAGAGTTTTTAGGGTCGGTCGTAAACCCAATTTGATTGTTCACCACCACGTGGATGGTACCGCCCGTGTCGTAGTTTTCCAACTCGGCCAAGTGCATCGTCTCATACACTACGCCTTGGCCACTAAAGGCAGCATCTCCGTGAAGCAGCAGCGGCAGGACCTTTTGGTCGGCGACGTCGTCATTGCCCAGGTAAAACTGCTTGGCGCGGCACTTGCCGACTACGACGGGGTTGACTGCTTCCAAATGCGATGGGTTTGCGACCAAACTCAAGTGCACTTGGCGGCCATCGGGGTACGTTCGATCAAACGACGTGCCCAAGTGGTACTTGACGTCCCCCGAGTTGCTCCAGTCGGCCAAATGCTCGTCGCTGTACTTGTCAATATCGACATGCGTGCCCTGAAACTCTTTGAAGATTTGGTGAATCGGCTTGCGGATCACGTTCGACAACACGTTCAACCGACCGCGATGGGGCATTCCGATCACGACATGCTCCATGCCCTAGGTAATACAAAATATACAATAATATGTGCGTGTACTGATAATTATTGTGTGAATTCGCTATAAATTTCCAACATTCGACTGGTTGTGTTTAATCCGTATAGAATTATCACGCTTAAGTTTTGATTGGTTGAATATACTTGCGTCCTTTCTGTATGAGCCAATCAAATTCACTCCAAATTGGATGGGCCAATCGCGTCGATGATTCATGATATTCGATGGCGTACCGAATCCATAATAGATTTGTATACAAATACTTTTTCAAACCCTTTTGTGAAATCATTTCGAATCATTTAAAGTTTCACAAACTTATAAAGGGATAAATAATATATGACATGATAAAATCATGGGATATGGTGTGTCGTACGAGTTCCGTGGCGCGGTCAATCATGTACTTGAGGCCAGGAATAAGCGACTCGCCGCCGTCCAGTCCAAAGCGCTTGGTCGTGTTGTACTTGTTGCCCAAGAAGCGCTCAAACACGACCGAAAACGCCAATCGCTCCAAAATGTGCAGCTTTTTGGCCTTGGTTTCGTCCTTTTTCACCAAACTTTCCAAGTTGGTGCGGATCCAATTGCACTTTTCCCGGTCCGAAATGTGCATGTATTGCTACAATCGTGATAAGTCCACAGGCTCAACATACATAGGAGGTTAAGTTTATTTAAACTACAGCGACACATATGGAGAATACAATGGATCTCAGACAATTAAATACATGGACAGAAGACGTCGAGAGAAAAAATGTAGCCAATTATATTGCAGCAACAACATCGAAGTCGTGTGTGACTTGAAATTAGTGTGAATACAATCACCACAAGGACAACGTTTACATACAAACTTGGAGTGGGGTGCTCAATCGAATAGGCAGAAGAACCAAATCGGCAGACAATATATTGACCAATGAAAACCCAGATCAAGAATCAAGTGGCCAATCAAATCTATTCTTCGACGAATTCAACATCGAATATTAGTGTGAGACTGAAATTAGTGTACAACATACTAAAGTCAGTGCAAAGTGAATCGATCGATAGATTTGCCGAATCAGCACGCATAAGTCAACCAAATTTTAAAAGGACAACAGTAGGACCAATATCGATGGACAGACGTACCACGCCGATGGAGCTCGTGTACGTTTCCTTGAGGCGCTGCACGATGTATCCGAGCGTCGGGTTTTGGCCGTCGCTCAGTTCTTCGAGGAACCCCGTGACTCCAGACGCACTATTATGACACAAAACGTGGTAAATATTTATATATATATATATATATCGTTCGATACGATCAAAACTGGAGAATCAATGGGCTGAATTAATACCATGCTGGAACTTTATAAAGAATACTCATTATATTATTATTGGACGGGAAAGTACAGTCGAATAGATGAATGTATTTAGTCACGTTCGTCATAGATGAGAGAGGACGTACAAGTTTTTGGGGATCGAGATCGTCTTGTCCAAGTCGGCTTCGGTGAACCCGTACATGGAGATGTCCAGTTCCGGAAGCGACGGACGCACGTCCAACCCCAACGGGTCCAACTTGGCGACTTCATGACCACGGCTTTGGTACGCGCGGATCAAGTAGCTTAATCCCAATGCGTGGTTGATGTCGGTGGACGCATTCACGGCCGCGGCGGCAGAACGCGCAACGGGGGTCACGCCAGATTGAACGGTCGGTGGCGGGATGAACGCTTCACCGGGGACGGCGCCTTGGTCCACTTGACGGAAATACACATCCCACGATTTGTGCACGCTACGTACAATTCAGTTGTGTCGTGGTACATGGAGCGAACACGAACCTCGTGGGGTCCTTGGACCACGTCTTGTACATTTCCTCAACGTAGACGTTGTTGGTGCCGCTCAAGAAGGACTCCGACGGATGCGGCGACGAAGAGAACGCCCTGGCATGATGCGGGCTGTTGGCTTGCACGAAGGTGCGGCGCAGCAAGCGCGAGGCAGACGCTAGCTTTCCCCACTGCGTCATTATTGATCTCAAGGTGGTCGAATCAATTCTGGCCGCAAATGTGTGGGTGAGTGGATTAGACTAACCAATCAGGGATCGAACACGTATTCTTTTCAGCCAATCACAAGAGCGTATTTCGCAACGATGTGCCCTGCCAGTCACTTCGTTCCACTGGCCAATAGTAACACGAGGATGGAACCTTGGATAGTAAACAACCCTACTACATAAGAACTAGTAGTAGATACTATTCGTACTTCAAGTAGTAAGGTGGGCTTACTACTATATATCCCTTACAAATACCAAGCCGGAGTACTAGCTACTAGCTGAGATACTAGTAGTATCGAGGCTGTCCTTCATCCATGTGGCAAAAGGTGAAACAGACGTCTCATGCCGCCGTCATGATGTGGAGCGCGCCGAACTCTGGGGTCGTCCAGGAGCACACCACATGGAAAGGAATCAAACGTGCGAAGGGAGAAGTCGACGGGTCATGCGTCATACCGGTATCGCATGTTGTGCCTGTGATGATGGATGGTTCATGCATGTATACTTGTGATGTAGTTGATCTAACTGAGTCGAATCTACTTGACGATGGGCTTGACAGCGGCCTTGACGCCGATAGGATGATTCAAGTGGGAATACACTTGGTCGACATCTTGGATGAACCGCAGGTAGTTGACGTCGGGATTGTCTTCGCGGCCGTGACGCACGCAATACGTCGATGTGAGCAACGAGATTTCCTGCGGGGTGCATCCCAACTGCATCATGTCCAGCACGGATGCAAATTGGGTCTTGGACACGTGCATGAGGCAATTTCGATCGTAGTCTTCAAAGAATGGCTTGATGTGCAGTCTAAGATAGCTGCATAACGACCCCCCCTCAATGTAACTCGCCCGATGCTCACCTCTTCACGTCGACGGCGGTTCGAATTCGTCCAAGAAGCGTTTCCAATGCATCAGATGGCTTGGATAACACTACATGGTCGCGGCAATCCTAGGACAGATGCATGAGACTTCCTCAAACTTCCATTTGTGGTACCTCGACATGTGCGGTGGATTCCACGGCCAGAACGAACGCGCGGTAGTTGATCAAGTCAGGCTTCGTCGTGGACTGGAAGGCCGAATTGAGCGTGAGGATGTCGTTTGCATCCACATGAAGTCCACTGCGGCTGATGGCGGTGTGGAACTTGGCGACGGAGATGTCGCCGCTGCGCAGGCGATCGCTCTCGGTGAAAAATTGCTTGAGCCGGATGCGTTTTGTGTCTGTTTGCAATCTACGATTTAAAAAACCAGTCCACATTGAAATAAAAACTTATCATTTGAAATCCATTTAAAACATCACAGCAAACAAGCCAATCAAATCCAAGGATTCACCAGTACCGAATATCCTTGAGCAGCGACTCCACCGCGACGGCGTGAGCTGGCTTGGCGTGCCGGCGCCAGGCCTCGGCGGTCAATGGATCCCCTTCGGTATGGGACTGGCGTAGGCGAAACTCTCTCGCACCTACATGTCGTAGTAATTCGAATGCGATCAGGTAGAGCGTGAAACGTACCAGGCAGTACAGTAGTCGTGGCATCGTCTTTCCCTGGTGCGAGGTTGGCTAACGCCGACAGAAATGCGCGGTAGTTGACATCGCACGTGGAACTCACGCCCAAATGTGGGGCGTTGCCGCGCTCGGAGAACTTGACCGTCAGCAGGCGTGCCGTCGCCGCGTTCGCCGGCAATAGGTTGAAGATCGATAGCACACGGTTGAACTTGGACGCCGACACAAACCCCTGGTTCGACAGGTCAAAGTCTTCGAACGGCGGGCGGATGTCCAAGCGCTGGTGCTGGATGAACGTCGCCATCCCCTGCATGGCCGCCACGACCGCCGCTTCGTCGTCCGGGGCCAGTACCTTCCTCATCATCACATGAGACGTCCCATATATCCCCATGCCTTCTTCCATCTTACAGTGTCCACGATGGCGTCCGTTTGTTCCGCGGCTTCGATGGAATGGCGAATGTCCCGCGTCGGATCTCGTTCCAACCTATCAAATACAAGATCCACATTTCAGCGTTGACATTGAATTGAGACCATTTTGAGGTTCAAACTCCAGTCAATTTTTGGCCAAATATACTGCAAACCCAAGCATTAATCCAGCATAAAATTCAATCCCAGTCTCAAACTTATTTGATCATCAAACTCAATTTTGAGGTAAATTTGTATTCTGGCATCATGTATGATTTTGAGAAAAATCATACATGGTGCCAGAATATATATATCGGGAGAATTGAGCTATGCTTTCGTACCCCTTGACGGTAAACACAGCGTCGATTTCGTCGGCAAAGCGCGTCCACGCGACGAGTGCGGCGCCGTCCACATCTCGCTCGGTTTCCACGGCATATTTGAACTCGTTGGCCAAGATTTCCACGTCCACGTTGGACAAAACAAACCCCGCAGCATTCAACCCCGCTGCAAACTGAGACCTAACCATCCAATTAAGTACGAATATAGTGTCCTCTATGCCCAAATTATATGGGTCCATACTCATACTAAAGACGCAATAACATGATGTATATTGTGGGTTCGGTCGGTACAATTTTCAAAGACCCCGCCGAGTCGAATCACGAATCATCGACGCTATTGGCGAATCCACTTTTGAGTGGATTGGATTGGCTCTTACAGATATGACAAGTATTTTCAACCAATGAGAACTCCAGCGTGCTTCAATAATGATTAGACAAAGCACCACCCGAATTTCGGAAATTTATAGCGAATTAACAATCAAATCCATTCGATGGGCAATGGTTTGCCATGTATGCTGCTTGCATTATATATATATATATATATATATATATACATAGAAGTTGAAATGTAATCCTCCTCCACTAGAACTCCACCCATAAACGAATCCCTAACGACGACACACATCGCAATATATACCAGTACAAGGGAATAACCTGGACACTCTTCCACCCATTCAAGTTTTCAAGTTTGCAATATATATTTATATATCTTACATATATCCAATATATATATATATATATATATATATATATATATATATATATATAGATTGCACACCTGGTGATTTTGCCTTTGCGCAGCTTGTCGCAGTCGCGAAAGTACTCGTCGATGCGGATGCGGTCTCGTTTGGCTTTTTGCTTTAGGTACCGCAACACCATGGGCAGCGTCCGCTGGAGATTCGCTTCAGACACTTGGACTTGAACTTTAGCTACATGACCAGACAAGGGCGAAGCCGACGACGACACTGGACATGACGATGTGCTGGCGGCGGCATCGCGCCGCTGAAATTCGTCTAAATCCAAGCAGAACGTTTTAAAGTTGACAAATGCCTTGTTGTCAAACGACAGATGCGACGGCGGCAGCGAATTGAGGCGCGTGCTCGCGTAGCGCTTTAAAATCGCTAGCTTTTCGTCCGCCGAAGTCAAAAACATGTTGAACATGGCGAGGACCTAGGCAAAACATCCATGACATACAGTTGGCTTGCTCAATCGATACTACTGTATGGGTCCACACGACTAGACTTCCTTTCAAAGCAACCAAGAAGATGCCAAATTGGAGTGGACCACGGACACAAGATACGCGCCAAGCCAGTGCACATTTTGTGGTTGATGCTTCATATGCATGCCACGAACACAAACGAATCAAGGTGTATACCGGTAGTATGAAGCAGCATCGTACTACAGTATCTATACAGTATATACATTCCAATCAAACCGATCACGTCATGGAGACTGCAATAGTAGTACTACTAACCACCAACTCAACGATCGAGATGAACACACACTTCGAAGCTACTTGACCAACAATAATGACGTGAATGATCCATACCCGGGCAAACTGTTCACACGAGACGCACTCGGTCTTGCCGCGGTCAAAGTCGCAAAAGAGGGGCTTGAGGAGGATGCGGCGGGTAGCCACGGTGTGGCTCAGCCGGGTCATGATATCGGTCCAGGAAGCGGCTTCCGCGTCCGTGAGGTCGCCGCGCGTGTCGCGGGTGCACGGCGCGGTTGGCAACGGCGCCACGTCCACATGCAGCTCGTCATTGGCATCATCTCGGTCCTGAACCAAGGAACTCACGCTTTTGCAAAACGCAACATAGTCCACTTTGCGCTCGTGGCTGGGGTCCTCGCTTGGCACGCTATACGCAGAGACAAGGATCGACAGGTCCTTCTCCGTGAGCGCGCCAAAACACACTTTCACCGCGCGCTGGAACTGTCCGTCCGTGCACTTGCCAGCGCGCAAGCGGTCGTAGTCGGTGAAGAAGTTCTTCATGCGGATGCGGTCTCTGGCAACAATGGTCCGGAGCGGCGCCTCCACGGCGTCCACGTCGTTGCCGCTGCCTTGATTGGACACGCGACGCCGTGGGCGTGGCGAGTCGTTGTTGCTGTCGTTGTCTAGACTAGACGACGGGAACACCTGCAAGTCGGCATGCAGCTGCTTGTAGTGGACATCCAATGGCCCGGAGCCATACGCTTTGGTGATGGCGTCCACTTCCCGCAGCGACAAGTCGCCGCCAACCACCGCGCTCAAGTCCCGCACAAACCGAGCCTTGGTGACCACTCCCGAGTTGTTCTTGTCAAAGTCGTGAAACACGTCTTTCAATACAATGCCCTACGATAAACAACTATAGTGTAAAGGAAGGTATGCTCATCTTTGGAAAAGAGCAAGGTTTGCAAACATCAATTTCGTCGTCCAGTGTTCGTGGGGTGTTAGTGGATTGATGGATAATATTAGTTACCTTGGTGCGTATAGCCGTGGCCAACTTGTCCTTGACAGAGCGCAGGGCTTCAGCGTCGACAGGCTGTAGTCCCAGCGAAGGAGGAGCTACTCCCATTTTGTTGTGGGGTTGTTTCAAGAGCTTGTCGGCCTTTTTGGTCGTACAAGGCTTGTCAATGAGGTCGCAGCACCGCCGGTAGTCGACGCTGCGGGTATCGTCTGGCAGTCGATACTTGGCAATCAACAGGTCGACTTCTGGCTTGGATAGCCGGATGCCGCTGGCGTCGATGGCGCGTGTGAACTGGTCGGCCGTGATCTTCTTGGTTTTGTGCACGTCGAACGTCTTCATGAACTCCTCCAGCCGAATGCGACGTTTGGTGCACGCGGTCCGCAGCTTCGCCTTGACGAGACGGTACTCGGCCTTGGATGCTGCCATGTTGCTCCTCGTGAGTCACACTCGATATCTCCACGAGAAAGAACCGATAGGATACTGTATTTTTAACCTTGGCAGTTGGTCCTTGCCTCCACGTTGACACTAAAAATAGCTCGCCTTTCAGCCAAAGTAGTTAAGCTCAACGACGACAAGGTTATAACCATGCTCTTAAGGTGGTGGCTATAGAGGCCTGTGAAAGTAAACGGCGGTCCGGTTGGACGGATCTGGATTTCCAACCAAAGCTGATTCGGTCAACTAGTTGTTAGTACCTTCGTAGTGTCCATACAATTACAGGAGCACTTGACAGTGATTGCTCTTATTTACATCTCATTTGTACCCACGTCCAGGGGATTGGACTACTGAAGGCGCTCTTCGACAGTACGTTCGACTGAGGCACTTTTATGGGGCACTACTTGGTACTTTCCCTAACTTCCCCTAAGGGGAAGTTCCAAGTAGTTTTCAGAAATAGCATGAGCCAGTCAAAATCGATTGACCTCAATTTTTGCACGATTTAGAAAAAGTCGTCAAGGACCTCTTGTTCAACTTTTTGTTTAGCGAGTTGCGTAAAAAATCGCAGAAAAAGAGGTAAAATAGTAGGAAACTGTACTCGGAACCACTTTTTCGTTTTCTAAAACTATCTACAGGCCCTAAGTGCCATTTACATCAAATTGCATGAGCTGTATGAGGGGCTGGTTTGTGAAAAGCTGTCCAAGCTTTACAAGGCAGGGAGGGATGTTATGTATACGAATTAGTTTCGAGGATTTTGGAAATATATCAAATCTAATGTTATTTCTTTATTTCTATCAAAAATGTGCAAAAGCAGTCAAAAGAAGGGATGAATCATCCCTGCTTCAACTCAGGCGTCCCAGCTTTTGAGGTTGTGTTATCCGGAAAAATTCACGTTTTAGTCAATCAGGGGTCGTATTTTCATCCATACTTCAAAAAACGTTGACAGAAATGTAGAAGTATTGTCTGATTATTGGGTAGTTATGAAACTCGCACGAAATCCTCTACAATATAATATGTTCAGTACTGTTAGAGTTCATACTTGGACTCTCTTGAGTGCACATCGTGGTGTATTCGCAGACCTCCGCCTTAACATCACTGCAACGCACGATTCAAGGTACACGATGAGGGATAGGTATGCATTCTTCACGACATCACACCAACTTACCATGACATATCAGTGTTCGTTGTCAGATTAAGCATTGGCCACGGTACTGCCGACGAATCGGCACCAGTGGTGCGCTGCCAACCCAACCACGACCAGCGGCACGCTCAAGGATGCATGGCGTCAAACCGTTACGTGGATACACTATATCTGTGCTAACATGATCGACTGTTGTGATCAATTATGCGAACAAACTATGAGTAGGATCACATCATTGATGTTGTAGTATGCTGCACTATGAAGCTTGAAAGTGAAGATGCTTGACTCATTTGTAGACGTATCTCAGGTGTGACCTATTGCCATCGATTTGTCCGTCCCAACTTACACTTTTCCGTGCCACAATTGCATCGACATGAAGGGGAGGACAAGTGAGCACGCCACAATCATCATTCATGCATTGACTGTGAATACATTTGATTACTGTTTCTTTCGAATTAGATCGTAAAATGTAATGTAACTTGTCTCGTCGATGTGCTTGTTGTCGAGCTCATGAGATGACTGAGGCCCATACACATGATGGCAAAGCTGAAGAAAACATGAAGGAAGGAGTTGAAGCTGAGCTGTCGAAGTCATTTTGGACACCTGAGCAACAGTGGCGCCAGAGTAGGAAACAAGCACTGCTATAACTCGTCGTGCTTTTGACAGACGAACCACGTCACGTTGAGACAAATCCCAGGATCGCAATAAGC